GGTTTAAAAATCGAGATGAAAGTGTGTGGGTTCGAAAAAAATATCGCTGTGGTCAGAAAACGAAGCTCTTTCAAATGATATAATAATCATAGAAAATTTAAAGTAAAGAATTGCTGACATAAATCTTTATTTCTGTATAAAGAACTTTGAAGAAGTTTCACGAATGGTTGGTCGGGGTATTCCATGTTTGAAGTCATGTGAAATCAATTTAAAATAAAAATATTCGTGTTGAAAATAAACGTATTTATTTTTGTTTTGTTTGATAGCTATGCGAACAATAATAAATATGTTTATTTTAAACATGCTTCTCATGTTTAAAATAAACATACATATTTTGGAATTATTTGAGTAGATGAGTGCAGGGTAAAGCAAAATAAAACGGAAAGAAATGAAAAAAAAGATCTTCGGGCCTTCGGGCAGGGCATCTTAATTCCTGCTCTTTTCGGGTGCGATTAAGGGTGACCTGTGGGTATTGGGGTCCTGGTCCGGGATGCGAGGACCCGTCGGAGTGGGAGTCCGGGGGTTCCAGTTCAGTGGAACCGATGCAAATTTGTGTTATTAGCGTCGTTTTGCCGTTTCTGCCACTGGTCCTTATACCGGTTTCTTTCCGTGTTCGATATCGGAGGAGGATCCGGAATGGATTAGGAATGGATGACCGTTTTCTGTTGAGTTTGAGCAAAGCTGGGGCTACTTTTTCCGAATGTAACAAGAAGGAAATAAAAAGGCATGACACGCTAAAAACCGTTTACCCAAATCCTATATTGTAGAAATAAACATGCTTTTGAATTTAATTCAAACATAAATATTTTAGTTTTAAACATGCTTTTGAATTTAATTCAAACATAAATATTTTAGTTTTAAACAAGCTTTCAATTTAGTTTGAATAATTCATATGTTTAGAGTTCAAACATTTATATTTTTGTTTTAAATGAACAAAATTCGTATCCGTGGTTGAGAAACACACGAAACATAGAGGTGATTGAATTTCTATTCGATTGTAATACTCTCAAATTTAATTTAGTAAGAATAAGAAAAATTCTAATGGGAATGTTCGATTGGCTCAGATTTTGACAGTTCATTTGGCTCAAAACATTCCATTCGCTCTCCCTCTGAGTATTTCTACTACCGATCAATGACGTTTATATAAAGTCTGGGCCAAAGGGCTTATTGGTGTTAGTGAAATGTGCAAATCTAGATAGAGCTGGAATTAGGGCGTAACAGCTTTTGTAAACAATGACTTCTCTCGATGATTTCTCGAAAGTCGTGACTCTCCCTGGCAAATTGTCATCACCATCGAGTAGGGGAATACTTCTCCTACCCGATGAATATGTTGCTTTGTGTAGGCCTGCATTGAATTCCAAGAAATCAATGAGAGAAGTCATTGTTTACAAAAGCTGTTACGCCCTAATTCCAGCTCTATCTAGAAATGTTTAGTGGTGTTCGTATTTTATTGCAATGTTTATCTTTTTACACGAAACAGCTTTTGGCAGTGACGTATTTCTATCTGTTCTCAGTATGTTGGCAGTGACGTATTTCTATCTGTTCGGAGATGTTCAGCAATGTTTACAACATTTTTGATTCTAACACCAGCAAGCTGCCTGTTGGCCCAGACCTTATATAAATGTCATTGACTACCGATGCCTTTTCCGCATCCACTGTCATTACGTTCAGGCCAAGGTGCTTATATACAGGTGATGCAGCTTCGACAGTTTGTGGGCGAGGAGAGCGCGGGGAAGAGGGGTGACAGTCAATGAGTTTGTTTGTAAACATTGGTTCGTTTCACGGTTTTTGCATTTACGAAGGCAGATTACCAAAGTTAAATTTTAATATATTGAAATGGCGTATTTTTGTGCAGTTAAAGACTGTACAAACAAAGTTTCACTTACTAAACACGATCAGAATATCGTATACCATAACTTTCCAAAAAGTTTTGAACAAAAGGAGGCTTGGATACGTTTTTGCGGTCACGGGAAGGAGTGGAAACCACAAAATAATCAAGGGATTTGTTCAGAGCATTTTGAACCTACCAGCTATGATTCAAAGTACCGGATCCGGCATGATGTAATAGGTGCAAAAATGGTTAGGTGTCTAGTTGCGAAAGGTAGGAAAATAATCTTATGAAAAAAAGTGCTTGATTTAATTTTAGCTGTGCCCAGCTGCCGAGCACCAGATACTCTGTTGCGTTCCGGAATGATTTCGGCATTCTATGAAGACGACGCTATGAATGGTAATTGATGTTCTACTTATGGATAATGTATATGACTGAATTAATAATTATTTTATAGATTCCGCTCTAAAATCACCCTCTTATCTGAAATGCACCAGATTTGAAGAAACATCCGCTAATGACTCTGGAGTTTCTCTGGAGATGTCGCTGAACTTTTCCTCTTCTAACCGCGATGAAGAACTAAAAGGGGAGCTGGATATAACCTCGGACGAAAGACAAAATGAGCATCAATCTAAGGACCAATATAATGCTGATTTGCAAGCAGCCCAATCGATGATCGTTGAGCTGAAGAAACAACTAGCTGAGACTGCACAAGGTATAAATGAACTCCAGGCTGCACATTTGAAAATGAAGCAGCAAGAAGCGCAGATCATGGAATTGAAGCTCGTGAATCGTAATTTGGCATTGAACAACGAAACAGAGACGAAATTGCTGAGGAAGAGGTTAAGCGCATTGGAAAGTAAAGTTGCAGCTTGTGAAACAGATCACCTTGATAGTGACCAGTTTGTAAGTCAACTACGATCTGTATTGAAGAGCGTGTTGACGGAAAATCAACTAGACGTTATACTTGGTCGAAAAAAGAAGCCTCACTGGACAGCGAACGAAGTATCCACTGCTTTTACAATCCGATATTTAAGCAAACGGTGTTACGTTTACTTGAGAAATGAACTGCACATTCCTTTGCCCGGACTTTCAACACTATCATCTTATGCCCAGCGGATAGATATGAGAAGCGGATTGTTAGGCAACGTATTGCAGTCTATGCAAATAGTGAGTAAGTACGGTTCAAAAATGTCCATATTCATTACATCATTGCAGTTATAGCTAATAAGCCTTTCTTGTTCCAGGAATGGATATGTCGGAAAGAGATTTAGTCTCCGTGTTAAGTTTCGATGAAATGAGCGTGCGTCAGCTTATGGAATTCGACGCAGCAAAGGATGAAATCATCGGACCGCATACACACGCACAATTCGTAATGGTTAGAGGTCTTTTTGCTAGGTGGAAGCAGGTGGTCTATGTAGCGTTCGACCAACCTATGACCAACACAATATTACTTGATATTATAAAGGAACTGCATAAAATCGGTTATCCTGTCGTTGCTATCAATTCTGATAATGGTCCCGAAAACTTGAGCCTCCGGAAAGCAGTTGGTGTCACAGAAGACCACACATTCTTTAATCATCCGGTTACCCAGGAAAAAAATCACGTCTTTGGAGACAGCCCTCACAATCTCAAGCTGCTCAGAAATTGGTTCATCGGGGATGGCATCATTTGGAACAACAAAAAAAATCAATTCTCAACTTGTACGTGTATTAATAGAAGAGCGCGCGACATGCGAACTGACACCATTGTTCATGCTGACCATTGGACACGTGAAAATGAGTTCAGCTGAAAAACAAAATGTGGCGAAAGCCGCTAAATTGCTTTCCCATACAACGGCCACGATGTTGAAAGAGCGTTTTCACGGTACTCAGGATGCAGAAGAATCAGATTTGGTAGCCAAATTTATCCGAATATGCAACAATTGGTTCGACGTTTTTAATTCTTTCACTAAGTACGCAAAAACTGACCTCAAAAGATCATTCACGGGTGCTAAAGATCAATTACAGGCTATAGATGCAATGCTCGATATGATGTCTAACATCCGTGGAATCCGACAAGGGGGTGTAGTATGTAAGTCATTAGCTACCTTTCAAAGGTCAATTATTATGTCTATAAAATCATTGAAAAACCTGTTCCACGATATGCAGTGTAAATATGGTATAGCGTACATTTCTACATTCAAGGTAGCTTCTGTAAAATTCATCTGCTTATGTTGATCAATATACATTATTTTTTATAGCTCAACCAAGATTTGCTAGAGAATTTGATTTCGCAACTCAGAACGAATGGTGGTCTAAACGACAGGCCGACTCCTCTAAGCGTAATTCATCGTTTACGACTCATAATTCTTGGTAAAACACCTGGTATCACCCAACGCAACACAAACACTGTGGAGCAAGGTGACCACCGGGACGAATATGTTACAGCTCACATGTTTCAGAAAGCGGATGTGGAGTTACCGCTATCGATCGAAAACAATTTGAAAACTTACATGAAACAAATCGAGCACTTAGGTATTTCTACATATAAAACGAGGATAAATTGACGCAACATATTATTCAATTTTTTTTTCAGATACCCCGCCCATTGCTGACGGTTTACACTACATGGAGAATCAAATACCCATGGAGTCTCTATCCTTGATATCGGTAGCTTCTGATATTCTTCAGAGCTACCAGGAAAAGGATGGGTTTGTGTATTTGCTCGGATGGGTGGCGTTTAAGCTGAAAAATTCACACCCTGATTTGGGAAGTAAAACAGCGGAAGTGAGCGGGTCCTTAAGCAACGCTCATATGCCTCCTTTTCTGGCAAATTTATCATATGGTGGACTAATGGTGCCCTCCGAAGCTTTTCAGGTCATGGGAAAAGCTATGGAGAAGATATTTATTTTATGCCATGGAACTTCTGGCTTCGATTTCAAACGTAATGTTGTGAATGATGTGACAAACCGGATTTTAGAAAGGTACCCGAAATTCGATCCAACGGTTGTAAAACGGTATATTAAAATAAGAACAATTGCAAGGATGCGTTTTTCCAATCTGAAAGTACAAGGATTATTACCCACAGTCAGTGATCATGACCTTGATAAATCCAATCGGAAGCGCAAATCCAAAGTTGCTGCAGAAATGGTTGTTAAGAAGAGCCATTTAGATGTCGGAGTAGAGTCGAGGCCAACACGATCCAGCCAACATTCATATCGTCAACCTCTTCAACGAAAGTGGACCGAAAACAAAAGGCATCTGGTTAAAAAGTACATGAAATTAAGCTCTAAATAAGCCAATCATTGGTAAATCTATTTTGACAGTAAAATCTATTTCTACTGTAAAACTATAAAGTATAATACAAATTCTTCATTTCAACCGTTTTAAAATTCCATTTAGAGTTGACATCACCAAACTGATACTGATTACTGATTGCCGATAATTGAAGATCTCATGTTTGTTTCCTTTTACCAAACAGATCCTTAAATTACTCCGTGATCCAAACTTCCAAAACACTTTTTATTGATTTCACTTCCGCTGCATGGGCAACGACTATCTGAATATATTTTATTGGTATATTATTACACTGGAAACACCAACAATACTAAACGTAAAATATTCGAGCAATCTTATGCTAATCACTAATTTTCCCTAATTGGAACCTCCGTTAAGTAATTGAACCTCGTGAAGAGTGCATTGTTTATAGTTGTGCTGGATCACGAATTTCGATTGAATCTAGTGCTAACCCTAAAATTAAAACCATCGAATATTACTCCGCTACTTTCGAACCAGACACATATTTCAAGTACTCACTTCAATTCGGCTAAACTCCATCAATTAAAGATTGTTACTGTCCGTTACCGGCTACCGTCAGGGATCTGACCCGATCGTAATGCATCCAGAACATAGCTCGCTCAACATAATGCACGACATTAGTTCCTGCTGTGGCTTCTCACGCACTTACGGTTTTGATAGTTCGGCTGAGGAGCTTGTTTGATAGGCGATATTACTGTCCGTGTTTTTACCTAGAATGATATTCACACTTAAGTTAGTTGGGATTATTTGAAATCAATCTTCAATAGTACTTACTTTTACTCCAGAATGCTTTCTGCATTTCACATTCAAAGAGAAAAAATAACTCCAGCTACTCATAGTTTGTTTATAAACAAACTCATTCGACTTCAAGTGCTAAATCAAACATGGCTGAATCTTGAGTTTGACACATTAGAACACCTATATATAAGCACCTTGGTTCAGGCCTTTCAACGGCTAAATAAAACATAGCAAGCATAACTTTTCAAAAGGACGTAAGTCGCATAAATAAACAAATCGATATTTTGCATCAAACCGAATAGATCAGTGCACGGTCCCTAACCTCACTTTTTGCTCCCTATCATTTTGCTTCTGAGTAAAAGAGATAGCAACGAATGGGAGCCAAAACAAACCACCCAAAACTGTCAAAACTTACGGGTGAGAGAAGAGTGCGGCAAATCTTCGTGAACTGATTAATATAAAATACCCCGACCAACCATTTTGTTAATTTTCTTTAATTTTCTATACATCGATCTTCAAAGCCATTCATAAGAAAAATCGATAGCGATCGTCACCATTTCATGAATAATTGTAAAGATGCTAAAAGTCTAATCGTGAATCGTTTATAAAGATCTGTCTCAAAATATTGCTACCAATCGTTACCAATGTTAAAATATCGATTGTGTTGCCAGATCAAAATATCGATTTCTGTTGTAAAATCAAAATATCGATACACAACTGCTGATTTTATTTGTGATTTTTATCTGCATAATTTCTAGTTTCGATCCCAGGCCATCTGGGGTTTACTGATTTCGTTGTTGGTTGCTAATCCTCGGGTCCACGGCTGCTGTTGATGAGCTTATCAACGACAGGCAAACACACTCTAGTATGTGGTGTATTGAAATTTCTGTAAATCTTTTCATACATGAATTCAATATTGTTTTGTCATAACCATCAACCAGTCAGCCATGTAGGTGTAATAGAGTTCAAAAAGGTATTAATTTTCCTCATTCACGGACAGAAAATTGTTTGCATTGAACCAAACAAAACTTTAGTTGTATTTAAACAAACAATTCCGGTTGAAATTATATTGCATTTTATTGTTTCTATAAAACTTATTCAAATAAACTCAACATAAGATTCTTTTTGTTTTAATAAGCCGCTTTTCAATTGCAACTATTGTAAAAATAACAATATTCTATTATTAAGCCAACAATAGTTAATTTTAATTTAGCATTTATTTGCTGTGTCCATTCCCCGGGCCATGAATACAAAAATAACTACCAACCATTCCCTCGTTTTCACCCGGACAAAAATGTAAACAATAACAAAAAATTTCTCATTTGATTAAGTATTGTTTTTAATTGTGAATTTCGGGAAATAAGTACGAGATTTCCGAAAATCTTAAGACTTGAGGTAAGCAAGTAAGCTGCAGTTCAAGCTGCAGTTGTTAGATATAATCAATTTTTAAGTTTTTTTTTCCTTGATTTTTTTTCCGTCGATCTTGTTTTCCGTACTGAGTACCAATGCTCCCGACGCCAGGAATGCACCTCCCACACCTGGACCCTACATATCGACCCATCAACTCATGAACCGGTGACCAACGGCTTTACTTCCCTTCCGAAGGAAGGCGTGATCAGTGATTTTATGCCTCAAAAATTCAATTGCAATTCTGTTTGTTGTCAAAAAAAAAAAAATCGACATTATTTTTGAATCAATAAACATATTGTTATTTCTACTGCGTGAATTGTCAGCCTTCATAAAATAAATTTGATTGAATCAACAAGATATCTCTTTTAAAAACAAACATATTTTTCTTGTTGACCCAGCTGCCAAATTTGACAGCTTACGTCAAAACCATGAAAGCTCTTGTAAATTCGAAAAGATTTTCTCTTTGATTTAACAATCCATGGGTTTTAAGGGACAATAATGCTGGATTGTTGAAACAATAATGATTTCTTTTTGCAGCCAAAACAAAATGAAATTCTTATTGCACAGCAAAAAAAGTTGTTGAATATTACATCGAAACTGATGCAACCAGGTCAATCCATCGATTGTGTAATATCACATTGTACGATGTACATCGATTTTGCGAACAAAATTACATCCATTGATGTAATATTGTATCTGCTTTTTGCTATTACATCATTATTTCATACATCAGCTTGAATTACGTTGATCGATATTACATTTTTTTTTTGCTGTGTGCATTTACGTCAAATATTATTACGTTTAAAATATTTTTTCTGCGTGTTGGGTTCCAAATGCCGAGAATCCCACCACGCATGCTCTCACGGGTTATTAAATATAAAACGTGAAGAACTACAATGGTAAACATTTGCTGCGTCACGGCCATCGGTCTTCTCGTTCATTTACCAGCAGATTGCTTCTTCCGATGAAATGCCGAATATGTCGATAAATAATATAAACATTGCTATCTGTCACCTGGTGTGTCTCGAACGCTCGAACTCTCGAACTCTCTTTAACCAGCGATGCAAATCGATAACAAGGAGATTATAAATGTGCATCGATGGCAATCTTTGTTGTTCTTTGTCAAAGTTCAAAGTTACGATGATATCAATATTTAAATATTTCTTGATGAATATTTGTAAAGAATACTAAAGTCCATGTGAGATATCGAAATTAAAAGAAATTTAGTATGGCACCTTTATAGATTACTATCATATGACCGATGAAGAAATAATCTTAAATGTAAGTATCGAGCAATAAAGATTTTTAAATGTGTACATCGAAATCATAGAAAATTTAAAGTAAAGGATTGCCGACATAAATCTTTATTTCTGTATAAAGCACTTTGAAGAAGTTTCACGAACGGTTGGTCGGAAAAAGCTTTTCCTACGAGTTAACGAAAAACAAGGTTTGAAATTGTGATGATTTATGGAAAATATATTTAATGAACACCCTATGTGACCTTCTTTCATTGTTTTTAAAATGGTGTTCTTACACCCTTATATTGTCAACATGACTTAACTGTTAAAATTTGATGATAACACAAAAACTGCAGATACGCTCACAGTGAAGCGTCGTATGTGAAAAAACAAAGTAACCACTATCAATCAACAAATGCGTCAAGTTTGTATGTTTGTTTTTGTATTTCCGGGAGCAACATGTTTATTATTTCAAAAGTATTCTAATAAAATTGCACTTTAATCTTGACTTTAATATTGAACATTTTACGGTTTAGCGACTTTGCAGTCAATTTAATTGTTTATAGGAAAGTTTGAACATACTGAGAGGTAAGCACATATCGTCGGTAAGAGACATGTGTGTGAGAAAATTTGCGAAAAAATCTAAGGGCACCGGTGGGATTCGAACCCACAATTCCCATTCAGTACACGGGTGCATTGCCAATTATACAACGGTGGACCTATGGTCTACGGATGTATTTGGCTAATGACACATGTTTGTTCACATCGACTGATACTGAGTGGTTGCGGTACAAGCACATATCGTCGATAATAGACGATTGTTGTGTATCAGAGAACGCTTGCGCAAAAAGGCTAGGGTGGGGAACGGATTCGAAACTCAAATGTCATTAGCCAAATACATCCGTAGACCATAGGTCCACCGTTGTATAATTGGCAATGCACCCGTGTACTGAATGGGAATTGTGGGTTCGAATCCCACCGGTGCCCTTAGATTTTTTCGCAAATTTTCTCACACACATGTCTCTTACCGACGATATGTGCTTACCTCTCAGTATGTTCAAACTTTCCTATAAACAATTAAATTGACTGCAAAGTCGCTAAACCGTAAAATCAAAAAGTAAAAGTAATTGATATTCATCAACTACGGCCCGGTGGTCGGAGGTGAGGCCGGCAGCTCAAAATGTTAGAGTCATACTGTACTGGACATATTTCAGCATGTAAGATGAATAACAAAAATGAGCTGTGTTTGTTCACATCGACTGATACTGAGTGGTTGCGGTACAAGCACATATCGTCGATAATAGACGATTGTTGTGTATCAGAGAACGCTTGCGCAAAAAGGCTAGGGTGGGGAACGGATTCGAAACTCAAATGTCATTAGCCAAATACATCCGTAGACCTTAGGTCCACCGTTGTATAATTGGCAATGCACCCGTGTACTGAATGGGAATTGTGGGTTCGAATCCCACCGGTGCCCTTAGATTTTTTCGCAAATTTTCTCACACACATGTCTCTTACCGACGATATGTGCTTACCTCTCAGTATGTTCAAACTTTCCTATAAACATTTTAATATTGAACTTCACAAACCAATCTGACCAGCGCTTTCTTAATACGAAAAACACAAAACGTATAACATCTGACAGCAGATAATGCGGTTGATCTCTCATCTCCGCTTTTAACATCAATTATTTCACAACTCTGGGTAGTTATGTAAATAAACCAACCAACCGACAATTCCTCAATCCCGACCAACCATTCGTGAAACTTCTTCAAAGTTCTTTATACAGAAATAAAGATTTATGTCAGCAATTCTTTACTTTAAATTTTCTATGATTTCGATGTACACATTTAAAAATCTTTATTGATCGATACTTACATTTAAGATTATTTCTACATCGGTCATATGATAGTAATCTATAAAGGTGCCATACTAAATTTCTTTTAATTTCGATATGTCACATGGACTTTAGTATTCTTTACAAATATTCATCAATAAATATTTAAATACTGATATCATCGTAACTTTGAACATTGACAAAGAACAATAAAGATTGCCATCGATACACATTTATAATCTCCTTGTTGTCGATTTGCAACGCTGGTTAAAGAGAGCTCGAGACACACCAGGTGACAGGTGGCAATGTTTATATTATTTATCGACATATTCGGCATATCATCGGAAGAAGCAATCTGCCGGTAAATGAACGAGAAGACCGATGGCCGCGATGCAGCAAATGTTTACTATTGTCGTTCTTCAAGTTTACGTCTATATATTTAATAACCCGTGATAGCATGCGTGGTGGGATTCTCGGCATTTGGAACCCAATGAGGAAAATTTACACCTTTTTTACCTCTATTACACCTACATGGCTGACTGGTTGATGGTTATGACAAATAAATATTGAATTCATGTATGAAAAGATTTACAGAAATTTCAATACACCACATACTAGAGTGTGTTTGCCTGTCGTTGATAAGCTCATCAACAGCAGCCGTGGATCCGAGGATTAGCAACGAACAACGAAATCAGTACACCCCAGATGGCATGGGATCGAAACTAGAAATCATGCAGATAAAAAATCGCAAATAAAATCAGCAATTGTGTATCGATATTTTGATTTTACAACAGAAATCGATATTTTGATCTGGCAACACAATCGATATTTTAACATTGGTAACGATTGGTAGCAATATTTTGAGAAAGATCTTTATAAACGATTCACGATTAGACTTTTAGCATCTTTACAATTATTCATGAAATGGTGACGATCGCTATCGATTTTTCTTATGAATGGCTTTGAAGATCGATGTATAGAAAATTAAAGAAAATTAACGAAATGGTTGATCGGGATGCTTTTCGAGCTGCCGACGTATACGTACTGCAAAACAAAAACCGGTGTATCTGATTTGACGTATGTGAAAACCCTTCTGTCAAATAGATGAATCATGCAGGGTGTATGTAACAATCAAGGTGTGATACCGACGAATCAATCAGGGTGTATGTGAGTAGTACACAAGTAAAAGGTGTATGATTTTGTTTTATCAACAGTCTTGTCTGTGTTTGCAAAACTCGACATTTTTCACAATTCTCTTAAACGCTATCCTTTTATCCAACTAATAGCACAAACAGATTAAAAAAAATAGCATTAACTTTTAAATAGCATTTAATAATCTCATATAGACATTGCTATCCAATGTTTCTAATTTCCTATCCAATGTTACATACGTCCTTTTGAAAAGTGATGCTTGATAGTGTATCTGCTCCTGAATATTTAGAAGAAAAATTCATCTGGCAACACTCTGCTCTTGCCTCTTGCGCAAAGATCGTCTCATTCCGTTCTAGTGCAGTGAAGTAAAAGTGTAGTTGACGGCTCAGTGAAAAAGTAACCAAGGAGTTTCAAATATTGTCTCAAATAAGGTGAATATTATATACTTTTGTAGATCATTAATTTCTACATTGGTTTGTAATGTAAAAATAGAGACCATTAGTGCAGATTCTGGAATATTTTCTATTTTTTTTTTTTTTCGGTTGTCATGGTTTGGTCAAACTTTTCATATACCTGAGAGCAAAGGGCGTATACCTGACCACACCGAAAAGTGAGAAAGTAAAAGCGTGTATGGAGAGAGCAAGAGAGAATGTATGTATGTGAACTGTTAATGCGTGCGTAGTAGTGCAATCGCACAAACAGGAGCAGAAGAGAAATTTGGGATTTTTTGTGTCCGGAGATGTTATCAGGTGTTCGAAATTGCTTCAAAATATTTGTGTTTGTATAATTCGGTGAGTACCTATGCAGACAGTAGTACTATCTGACTATTCTATGAGTTTATATAAAAATCGGTTATCGAAATATTTGCATACGATTTTTTTTTAATTAATGTTTGTTTGAGATGGTAGGTTAGAGGCTGTTCATTAACTACGTAGACATGTTTTTTGCGATTCTTGACCCCCCGCCCCTAAAGCCCTCTAGCTAAAGTATGGACGACTTTCACCACAAAACTGAAAAAATCTGTTTCAATCGAGCAAAGCGGTGCATTTTGACGGTTCGATTAGAACAACTTTTAACAGACGTCCATACTTTTACTGTAGGGCTTTACCTCCCCCTGTGTAGACAAATATTCATACAAAACGTTTAAAATGTGTATGAGTCGTGGATAATTACCCCCCCCCCCCCCCTAAACTGTACGTAGTTTATGAACAGCCCCTTAGTAATTGGTAACTCAACAGTCCCATCAACAATAAAAGAATGTTGAAAAAACAAAAATTTGGTAGAGGTAAATAACCGTAATCCGGCTTGAATCCTTAACAAAAAAAAACTTGTTAAAATATAAAAAAGACGCATCGATGACATAATTCTTGTCATTAATTATTCAAACATATTGTTACAAGGGCTGTTAAAGTAGTGTGAACAAGACATACGATGTAACGCTATGTTCAAACTACAGTTATTACAACAACAACAATAAAATATCCAGTCTGGCATACAAGTTGTTCGGAGTTATGTTATAATGTTAAACCTATGAGGGAGCATGCAAATATAACACGTGAAATTTAGGGAAAATCATTCTAGTCAAAATTCTAGTACTACACAATGTTTGTGTTGATTCGCTATGACCGATAAAATGAGGGGTTCGTGGATTTTCATTTGTTTCGAGGGGTGCATCGATTAACTTGGGACCGAAGATAGTACCAGAGCTGAGTCAAAAAGTTGAGCTCGTTCCTTCAGGACCTTCTAGTCTTAGAGTTACCTCTATGCTATAATCAAGCTTGCATATATTTTTTAGAGATGTTAAGTCGTAGGCTAGTTCATCTCTTTAGGCTTGCAAATGCTCATTACAGCTAAAATGCTATTTTTCGAATTTAGGAAGTTATGAAATATTTTAATGATAATTATTATTTACAAGATGCAAGAAGAGAAGGTAAAGTGTTTGTATGATACATAAAATCTGGCTATTAAGCTTTCAGAGGGTCACAATAGCGATTAGCTGTAACGATGAGCGAGCAATCAGCGATCACAAAATCGCTTGTTGTGACTTAATGAAAGCAAAATTGACAAATTGTCTATGTCAAACTTTACCACCCATTCTTACTTCTTACAAATAAAAATTATCGTTATAGTAGGGTTAACTACCCCATTTCCGGCCTATTAAGCACAACCCGCACTTTATTTTTCTTAATCTAGTGCAGTTTAGCACCGAACGGAATGTTATTATTACTGATGGTTTCCAAATTTATTTACCTCTCCGTATGTAGGTACCATAAGATTTGAAAAAGAGAATCCAATCGTTGAGATATTGTCAAAAGTCTAACACTGCTTTTTGACGCCAAACTCGGCCTAATGCATTGAAACGCCAATGATAGCACTTCGGCCTATCAGATGAAGATAAAAATAGATTCAAAAGACTTTCAACTCTTCCATTTGCTCATACGAACGCTATGAGACAGGTACAATCGCGTCATCTGTCGCCAAAGGTAAATGCTTCGAACGAATTTGATAGCAAAGATTACACCCTCAGAAGAAAGTTTTGTGTATTTGCTCATTTTTCTATGCGTTGCTTCCACCTTCACTCATGCGCAGCGCTATTGCATCTGTCGCTTGGATTCTGGCAAATTTGCCAGTCTTCTTGATTTGATGTCTTCGATTTTAGCGAAGACTACATATCAAGAAGACTGGCAACTCTTCCATTTTCTCAAACGACCGGTATGAGACAGGCACAATCGCGTCATCTGCCGCTTAAAGGTAAATGCTCCGAACCAATTGGATAGCAAATGTTCCATCCTCAGAAGAAAGGTTTGTGTATTTGCTCTTTTTTCTATGCGTTAAAGCTAGCTGATCTGCAATCACCTATGACAACCTCTATTTGGCGACCGGTCAAATACGATCGAAACCTATTAATTATATGATTTGAGCAGTAGCTATACTGAAGATCCGAGAGATGTCGCCCCTTCAGTGGTAGGAAAATCATTTTTGCAGTATGGAGAATATTAGAAAATCCACGATTTGTGACTAAACATGCTTTCACAGAAGGAAACAAATAAACGAGTGTTTACCTTATCACCATAGTAATGTACTCGTGCAATTTTTGCGCACCTAAAACTGCCCATAAAGACGATAATGAATAAAAACTGAAAATTTTCATGCATTTCTAAATGGTTTCCTACCATTCCCATACATTCGAAGTGACTGGTCCTCTGGATGTGGATGATGTCAAAAACAACAAAACATGATTAATTCAGAAGATTACCGCATACACCGAGCCTGCCGAGTTTAGTAATCGCAAAATATACAACTCTCTAATAAGGAAAATCCCCAAAGGCTTGGTAGCCATCATAATGAAGTAATGAAATTGGGTTGTTAGCGGAAGGTTCCGATTCAACACATTGTAATTTCATTTTTATACCTATGATCTTGACTTTTTTACCTAGGAGATGAGTACTTAAGGGGGTTAGATTTTGATAAGTTCTTTAGTGGGAATGACACTGATGAAGACTGCACATTGTAGTCGAAATACGTATCTGTCATGGATACCAAAATTAAGTGGAATTAAATGGAAGATAACCTTTTTTGCCGAAATAAATGGTTGCAACATGCCGTTGAATTTTTTTTTTGTAAGCTCACTAATGCTCCTTTAAGATAAAACAAATTATGGTTCAATGATCCCATAAATATGATAAAAAAAAATTATAATTGTTTAATTATTATTAGAAATTCCAGGGCTGTTACAACAAGCGCGGATTTCGCGATTTTCGCGGATTTGTCGCGGATTTGAACTTTCAGTCGCGAAAATCGCGGAAACATTAAATGATGTTGCGAAAATCGCGAAGGGACTGATGTGCTGTCACAAAAATTGTGGAATTCATTGTAACCTTTCCGTCCCGGATTATTTTGGGGCTTGTTCATAAACTACGTAGACAGTTTTTTGGGATTCTTGACCCCCCCCCCTCCCCCTGCGTAGACAATTGTCCATACAAATTTTTTAAAATTTGTATGGGCCGTGGATAATTGCCAAACCACCCTCCCCCATAAACTGTACGTAGTTTATGGACAGCCCCTTGCTGTCATCAGTTTTGTTGTTCATTTGGCTCTCAATTTTTTACCGGTTCAAACCAAACACCCTGTAAATAATCGAAAATGATCTCAATTCCATAAGTCACACCGGATTTACACGGAAATTCCCTGAGGTCTGTCCAATGTGAGACATTTTCCTTTTTTTCCAATATGAACATAGCATTTTTCGTTGTCAAATCACAAAAGAATCGTAGGGGAATTTACGTATTCTCGTCAATCTAAGCAGCGTCTGCACTTCTACTAGCATTTTCTCAGCGTCACGCACATATATGATGTGTCTGTTTGTTTACATTCATCTGCTGCTTGCTTCTCTATCCATTCCAATCGACAGAATTTTTCAAAACGTTTTGAAAGCGTTTTTACAACGCTCCAAACTTCTCAGGTGAGTGTGACTATTGTCGGCAGTCTCTTTTTCTTCGGCAACCTTCCCATTAGAACTGCGTGTTAACCAGTTGTTCTATTATCGGCAACTCGAAATCAACCTTATTTTGTAGTGCGTATGCTTTATTTGAAGAAAAATGTAGCATTACTGGATTGCTCGATCGTTCAAATATAATCAGATTGAAGCTGAAAGGCTAAACAATCGTTTGGACACATTCAGGGAAGTGCGTTGATGGGAAAACATAGTGAAATTAACGTTTAAATTTTGGTTGCCGAAAACAGTCAATGGGTGCCGAAGCCAACATTTACCCTATATATGCGAGTAATTGCTATGTATACTCGATATTCTAGGTTCTCGAAATCGTCCTTGAGTTCAGTTGATTTGTTCTATCAAGACTCCAATAATGTCTGTAGTATCGAAATATGTCCAAACAGATTCAAAGTGTCTATGTGGATTGTACTCGACCTATTGCTACGTATACAAGATGTTATAGGTTCTGAAATCATTCTGGAGATCAGATTATTTTTCTACTAGATCACCCAAGACTAATTCAATATCTGTAGTATCGAAATATGCCCAAACAAATTTGCAGTGTCTATGTGGATCATGCCAACCTATTTCCGCGTATACCAATTGTTCTAGGATTTCCAAATCGATATTTCGATACTACAGATATTATCCTAGTCTTTGTTGATCTAGTAAAACAAATCATCTGAACTGCAGGACGATTTGGAGAACCTAGATCATCTGGTATACGTGGACATAATTATTTATTTGTCGTCAATCAGTGTAGACCGTTTTTCAATAGTGCTGTTTCCTTACATGCTATTTTAAAACATACGTTTTATTTGAAATTGTCAGTAAATATAGACTGCATATACAAATATCTAAAAAATAAAAATTGTTTTAAACTTAACGAGATGAAATCCTAGCAGTTAGTGTTCTCCTTACTGTATCTTTAGACATCGT